CATCTCCACCCCCACTCGTCGGGAAAACCACCAACAGCATTCCTTATCCCCGCATGTCGATCGGATATAATCGTAATATCTTCCCGCTGTGTCACGTGTTCGTGCAGTTGGTCAAAGAACCAAGCCCAACTTAAGCTGTTCTCCCCTTCCACTAATGCAAATGCAAGCGGGAAAATCCGCCTGTTTCCATCAACGCCAGTGGCAATTAGAAGACATCCTCTGTACTTCCCAGTAAGGAAAGTTCCGTCAACCTGAATAAAAATTTAGAATATAATTAGTATGAAATATACTTAACAGCAAAGAATACAACATTTAAAACCGGAACTAGTTGGTAAAATACCTGAATAACCGGTATGCAGAACCCAAAACCGTCAATGCATGGTTTAAAAGCCCAAAAAAGACGATGGAACATCAGCTTATCCTGTACTCGAACTTGATCCTCAGTGTATATATTGTTGTATACTGGGACGAAAACAGTCCCAGGATTGGACTCCTCCATTGCTCCCATAAGTCTAGGGAGTAAAGCATACGAATCCTCCCAATCACCATACACCTCAGCCATGGCTTTCTGCTTACCATGCCATGCTTTTTTGTACCTTATCGTGTAAGAATGTCGATCCTTCACCTCTGCCATGATAGCTTTCACCTTGATATCTGGTTGTGCTTCTATAAGGTGCTTAATAGTTCTCCCAACCTTCTTTGCTTTTAGTTGCCTGTGATCTTGGGAAAGTATAGAAGAGGAGCATGTGTGGATCGTCTCAGCTGTGCGAATCACCCAAGCACCCTTTCTCTTCATATTTGCAGCCCGCAGTTGCCACGTACAACCCTCTGCATCATGCTTGCATATGACATGTAGTTGTTTACTGTCAGAATATTTTACCTTCCACTCGAAATTGCGCCTCAACGCCTCTTCTGTAAAAGCATCCTGCACAGCGTCTTTCGATGTGAACGCCATACCCACCTCCAAATTGGCCGTCGGATTGTACACTGGCATAGGGTCAAAGTCGGGGGGATCATTCTGACTATGTAAAAATTGAGTTGGAACCTATGTGTAATATGGCGTGGGTGCCTCACGAAATGCCGCCTCATCCTCGTTATCATCAGTACCTTCCTCCTCCTCGCTCACTAATATCAAATCTTCCTCAGTATCCTCGTCGCTCGACTCGAATGGATAGCTCGGGCTAGAAGGATCAACATGACCACGATCACCAACATCGTCCTCTCGCTCATGTGAAGTACGCCCTGATCGAATGGTATTCTCGATTCCATACCACTCTGGCCCCCAAGCAGGCCATTGAACACCATCGGCCTCAACAAATGGGGCTGGTTTAGGAGGTTGCGAGTATTGGTCCCATCCTGCACTACTCGATCCATCGTAGTTGATTGAACCACCACCCTCCCCGTAACCTCCTATATAACCACCGCCTTGGTAGTTGCTCGAACTACCACCCCATTCGTACCCTCCTGCAAAACCATCATCATAAGAATACTGGTGAGAATGAGATTCACCGAGCGCCTCGGTCTCAACATACACCTCTGCAAGCCGGACTTGGTTATCGCTTAGGAACTGTAACATCATCACCACCGCGTCATCATCGTTTATGACAACTTCTTGGAACACGACCCCGCCAGCACTCATGTCTGGATACCAGTAAGTAATTTTGCCAAGTCTCGTCTGTCCGCTCGTACAAACCCTTTCTGCACAAAGATCACAGAGTTCTTGAAAATTGAATCGGGATTCAATTTTCAGCATAATGGATTCGCCGTCCTCATAATCAATGCCTATGTCAGAGTTTGTCACCCTTCCATTCCACCGAATAGTAAGATGAAACTTCTTGAATTTACCCATATCTACAATTTACAATAAGTATCTATTAGCTTAAAGACAGTAAAATTAACCAAAATCATATTGTACAACTAATATTAAATCATACCATAACTAACGAAAATAAATTCAACTAACTAACAACAACATAATACGAAAATTAAATCATACTATAACTAACGAACATAAGTTCAACTAACTAACAACAACATAATACGAAAATTAAATCATACTATAACTACTAAAAACATAATTAGACTATAATACGAAAAGTCTCAACATACCGAAAAATTTCTGTTCTGTGTATTATGCTCGATTTTGGCTGCTGAAATTTGAAGAAAGGGGAGTGGTTATGTTTTTACAACTGCTGCTGGTGTGCTATTTATAGGAAAATCTGCCTACTATTCACCGTTTTTGTCGAAAACGGTGAACACCATCACCGCGTTTGTCTCAAACGGTGAATAGGTGGTAGCTGCGACCTAATTTTGACCTACCAGGGGTGGGAAACGTGGGAAATGATCACCGTTTTTGACCAAAACGGTGAGGCGTTCACCGTTCTTAACAAACGCGGTGAACCCTTCACCGTTTTAGTTTGAAACGGTGAATACATCACCGTTTTAGTCTGCAACGGTGAATACATCACCGTTTTAGTTTAAAACGGTGAAGTATTCACCGTGTTCTTCAAACGCGGTGATGACCTTCACCGCCTTTGTCTAAAACGGTGATGCTCAAACATGTGTACTTTGGGAAATTTTTTTATAACTCATGTATTTTGGGAATTTTTTTAAGAACGTGTGTACAGTGGGATTTTTCCCCACTTTTCTAGGTATAAAAAAACACTATCATATTAAAACTTCTAGAAATAAACTTTTATAAGGTACCAGTTCGTTAACAGTTTTTTAACGACTTAATATTGGTTAAACCAGTAAAGTATGAGTCATTCGCTATACCGGCTTATACTCCGATTCGGTTATGACAACATTGGTTTTATGTTTTTAGGTCACCAAACCGCTTATACATAGAATCACGATTTTGACTAGGGGTGGCTATTTCAATTTGGTCAGAATTTTTTGGTTTACCCAAAACCGGACCGTATAACCCAAACCGAGACCAGACTGGGATTGGATGACAAACAATCCAATCTCGTTTTTGGGTTTAGATTTGAGGTTAAAATCGTTCGGGACCGGACCAAATACATGTAAAGACCGGATAAGAGAGCCCAACACCCAAAACCTAACCAACTCCTCACCCTTTTAGGCCTTAGGCCACTCAAATCCCCACAAGCTCTATCTAAAATCAAGACCGAATTGGTACCGGACCGGATCAAGACCAGATTGTATCCAATCCCTTCTTCGGTCCTCATATTCCTGAAAAGACGGACCACGACCGGATCAATTCGAACCAATTTAACCGAACCGACATTGTATAACCAGCCCTAATTTTGACGGCATTGTATGCATTGCACGAACGTGGAGGAGAATACTCAAAATGAATGACTTGGTTAGCCACTTTGCCATTTCTAAGTATTATGAGTGGCGCTTAAAGCACTGGTATTGTCCTTCCTAGAGTTATTCTTTCAACTTTATTGGATGACTTCTCTAGGGTGTCGCTTGTAGGGGGTTCCTGAGTAGTTTTGTTTGTATAACTCTTATCCTCTCTTGACATCACCCGAAAATAAAATAAAAAGGTAACAATAAAATACCCAGTTAAGAGGGCTCAAGATACAATGCATAATGCACGGGAACAGATCCAGTCAGTAACCTTGTGGTGTAACCCCATGCATAATCATAAAAGAATCTGTCACATCAGCGCTTCCTTCTCTCTCCTCGAAAAAGCTTTAATTTTCTTTCTCTTAATCTTTAATGGATGATTTTTCACTCGTTTTAAGTCGGAATTTAAAATTTTTTTGCACATTTGTATCAGATTAATTGTGTTCTTCAAAATGATATCCACTTTGATATTTTTGTGGAACAAATTTTTTTTTTTTCAGTTTTTACTAATCTATACCATATGGTATTAACTGTACCCATATGGTATTGACTGGTATTAAATAACAGCATACCATATGGTATGAAAAATACCACCCCATACCAGGGTGGTATAGCATGTATGATATGGAGTTGGTTATGAGAGGTATGAAATTTTTTCACCTAGAAATTTTTTTAATTCAATAGATCATATGATTAAATCGTTCCTTCGGTGCAAAAATTTTCGAAAACGACTAAAAGACGAAGGAGATACCATATGGTATGGAGTTGGAAACGAGAGGTATGAAAAAAAAATTCTCAAAAAATATTGAAAATGGATATCATTTTGTAGAGCACAACGAACTCGTTCCATCTGTGCAAAAAAAAATTGAAATCTGAGTTAGAATGAAGAAGATATGATCCAATCAATAAAACTAGAGAAATAAATTCCTTTAATTTTCCATCCTTAGATTTGCAGCCACTTAAAATAAGTGTCAACTTTGTTTACTCATAGTTATGCACCCTAAGGTTATGCACCCTATCTTGAGCCGTTAAGCACGCATCAGTAACTAAATCTGGACCCTTCATTCAGGAAATTCAGATTTAAAGGTGGAGAATTAAATGCATTTTTATTTTCCTCTTGTTTTCTTAATCGGCTCATATCTTCTTCGTTTGAACTCGGATTTTACTTTTTTTGCACAGATGGAACGAGTACGTTGTGCTTAGGGATGACAATTTGAACCCGCCCCGTCGGGTATCCGACCTGACCTGCGATGGGGCGGGCATTACCCGATCCGTAGTTGCATGGGGCAAGGCATGGGTATCAACTTCCGACCCGCCCTTTCCCGCCCACCCCGTTCTTGGCCCGTTCTAGGTCAATTTCTTATGCCATCCATTCATATATCTCCTATTGTGGCTTTTCTTCAACTAGTCACATTTGATCTTTCAACTAAATAGACTAAATTACCCATTATATTATCACTATTATTATTCATTCATGAGTCTTTTCCCCTTCGTTTTATCATAAAAAGTAAAAATTTGCTTGTACTTTTTTCAAATAACATATAAGAGTGGGTCAACCCGCCCCGCCCCGTACCCACGCGGGTATTACCCGCTCCGACTCGTAATACGTGGGGCGGGGCATGGGTATTGAGGTACCCGCCCCGCCCCGACCCATTGCCATCACTAGTTGTGCTCTACAAAATGAGATCCATTTTCAATATTTTTTAGAATTTTTTTTCGTGCCTCTCCGTACCAACTGTAACCATATGGTATCTTCTTCGTTTTTAATTCGTTTTTGAAAATTTTGCACAGAAGGAACGAGTTCATCATGATCTATTGGATCAACAAATTTCTGGGTGAACAAAATACAGGACCAAAAAATACCACACAATACCACCTTGGTACGGGGATGGTATCTTGTGGTACACAATGTTAAAAGTCGTAAATGAAAGTTAATATACTTCTACTATCATGTATTCAACCATCCTACAGTCTTGGTTTGTTCATACCACCATGGTACGCTTTTCATACAATAGGTATGCTCTTATTTCAATACCATATGGTATAGACTAGTAAAAAATGACTCAAATTTTTTGTTCAAAAAATATATCAAAGTGGATATTATTTTGAAGAGCACAATTAATTTTATCAAACTGTGCAAAAAAAAAAAATCAACTTAAAAGAGTGAGAAATCGTCTGTTAAAGATTAATGAGGGAAATAAAAGACTTTTCAGGAAAGAGAAGGTGCGCTGAATCCGCTCCCAGTTAAGAAATTTGGTAACATTGGTAGACTTAAAACTGATGGCACGTAACAATAAAATACTCTGTTAAGAGAGTTTGGAACATTGTTAGACCTAAAACTGATGACGTAATTGGTACAAGCTTGATTGTTATTGATGCTATACTACTATGTCTAAACCACTACTGTGAGCAATGGTGGACCCAGAATTTTAGGATAGGTGTGTCGGCTAATAAAAACAATTTTAAAATATTTAATAATTAAAATAATTTAAAATAAACATAAACCTTTTATTCATAAATTTCACCAATTTCATTATTTTTTATAGTGAACCAAGACGAGTTTTCATATTCTAACAAATTTCGTAGTTACATTTGTCCATTAGGTTGTAATCAAATCATTTTATGTACATGATTAAACAATTATTCACAAACTAGTCACTCACCTTATACCAAAGATTGTTCTCGATTAAACTCATAACTTGAAAATGTCATTGTGTAGCTTGTAGTTGCAATAGGTAAAGTCAACACTAATTTAAGATGGGAAAACTAGTATGAGTATTTGAAAAGGTGGCCACAAGCGTCAATATGGAAGTTTGAATGAGGATGTCGCCGGTTCGCAGCCGATAATTGGAGTGTGGACGTCAACGTGGAAAGAAAGACTAAACTAGAAAGCAAGTTGAAAATTAACTTAAAAGAAAAATCTATGGAAGAATCTACGGGGAAATACAGTCTGGAACACTATCTAGTATTCTAGTTACTTGACTTTACCTAATCTAAAGTCAGATAACTCTATATATACATATTTTAATAAATTTATGACAACTAAATTTTTGTTATGTAGTAAGATGTGTTGGTTACAATTATTAGAGGCGTGTCGGAGGTTCCGTGTTTGAATTTTTTACACCGAAATAATGTGAGTTCTTCACAAAAATTTCGAACCAAAGTATGTCGGCTGACACACCTTGCTTAGAGGTAGGTCCGCCCCTGGCTGTGGCCTGTGAGTATGGATAACTAGTGCAATATGTGTGTTCTGTTGCCACAGAGAATGAAACTAGAGAGCATGTGTTCTTTCAGTGCTCATATTCAGCATGATCAATAGCAAGTCTTAGTTTGCTCTATCAGAATTCACAACCAAACGTCTCCCGTGCGGAAACTGAATCAATACACAGCCATTACGCAAAATGTTCGTACACCATAACCACACACCAACAAAAATAGGAGAAAAGAATCACTCTGTTGATTTCAATACAAAAACCTGGCTCCAAGAACTTCACCGCGAAAATTCAATTTCAAGCAACAGAGACCGGCTGCTGCGCCTGCTGGATGGCGTTGCCTTTCTTCTTCCCCTTCGACTTGTCCTCGTTGAAATCTTCGGGGTTGTATATCACAGTGATGTAGAGGGAGCAACTCGGACACCGAGCGATTTCTTCACCGAGCCGAAGGTCCTCCTTCGTTATCTGGAACAGATCGCCGCACGGGCACGGATACGTGAAAGATTGGAGCTCCTCGTTCCACTCCATGTCTTCTATCTCCACGTCGTCGTACGACATCGCGCGCTGCCCGCTACTTTTCTTTTTCCTCGCCGGCGGCCGATTTCGAACGAGATAGACGGTGGATGAGCTAAACAATCGGAGGAAGATTGGCGATGCCGGTGGGTTCTTCTGGTCACTTCTTCCTTTGCCTGGCTTCCTCGTTTACTTTTCAATTAGGGTTTCGCGTTGGGAGCAAGCTGATCAATGTCGAAGGAGGGAAGGGCAGAGAGGGGGAAAAGCCAAGGCTTTATGCTTATCAGATCGCAGCAGTTATTTCTGGGCCGTGATTGAATTTCCGTGGGCCTTTGGGCCCAAAACGTGTTTTCTTTTCTTCTTTCCATGCTCAGACCCCGTGCCGTGACTGCAAAAGCCGCAAAGCTAGAAATCGACGGACGTCCGGTGCAAAAACCTGGAACCACTAGTATTTTCTCTAACTATTCTCTTCCCAGCTTCATTTTCTCTTTCTTTGCGGCTGAATTAGTGACTGCTGGAAGCTGTTACTGTTTCGGCAGTATGAAGCCGATTAGAATCTTCGATACTGGATTGTCGAAGCTCAAAGGCGTCAAAACCACCATAGTTGTCGCCACTCAGAACTCGCCGGATTCTCGTCGCTGTTTCTCTTCCGCAGCGGATATCGAGTCACGAAGTACACCAGCAGAACCCCCTTGTGCGGGGAAGGAGGGTGAGATCCTCAACTTAATTCAATCTTCACAGTGGCATTCCGTCAAACACCTGGCTCCCGACTTGACAATTTCTGTTATTTCTTCCACTCTCCTTGCTCTTCAGAAAGCTCCTGATTCTGCTCTCCGATTCGTTACTTCAATTGGGTTTGAATCTCTTGATTTGAAAACCAAATGCTTAGCTGTTGCAGTGGTCTCTAGGTCCCCCTCCCCAAAACCCACGTTGCAATTGCTAAAACAAACAATTAGAAGTGGAGTGGATGGCGCGGGTGAAGCTTTCGTCGAGTTGGTGCTTGCACGGGATAAGTTGCGCAACGGAAGTACTTTACTTTTCGACTTATTGATCAGAGCTTGTTGCGAATTGAAGAAGGGTGATGATGCTTTTGAGTGTTTTGATAAGATGAAGGAAAATGGTGTCATTCCCACGGTCGAGACGTGTAACGCAATGCTGAGTCTGTTTCTGAGGTTGAATCGGACAGACAAGGCATGGGTTTTATATGCAGAGATGTTTAGGTTGAAGATCAAATCCAGTGTGTACACATTTAACATTATGATTAATGTGTTGTGCAAGGAAGGGAAACTGAAGCAGGCAAAGGAGTTCATTCCTTTCATGGAGAGTTTGGGAATCAGGCCGACCGCTGTTACGTACAACACATTAATTCATGGGTACTGCACAAGGGGGAGATTTGAAGCCGCTCTTTTGGTTGTGGATCTAATGAAACGCAAAGGGGTTGAACCTGATCCATACACCTATGGTTCACTTATTACTGGGATGTGCAAGGAAGGGAAACTTGAAGGTGCTTCCCAATTGCTTGAGAAAATGAAAGAAACTGGGTTGCTTCCAAATGCTGTGACATACAATATCTTGATTGATGGGTATTGCAATAAAGGCAACTTGGAGATGGCTTTTCGCTACAAGGATGAGATGATTGGGAAAGGTATTTTGCCAACTGTGTCCACTTACAATCTGCTCATTCATGCTCTACTTATTGAAGCCCAAATGGATGAAGCTGATAAGATGGTAAAGGAAATGAGAGATAGTGGTATTGTTCCTGATTCTATTACCTATAACATCTTAATCAATGGGTATTCAAGATGCATGAATGTTAAAAAGGCATTCAACCTGCATGATGAAATGCTGAGCGCAGGAATTCAGCCAACACGAGTAACTTATACGTCTCTCATTTACGTTCTGAGTAAGCGGAAGAGGATGGAGGAGGCTGACAAGTTGTTCGAAGAGATTGTGAAGAAGGGCATTCTGCCTGACCGTATAATGTTCAATGCACTGATTGATGGTCACTGTGCAAATGGGAATATGGAACGTGGATTTGCATTGTTGAAAGAGATGGACAGAATGAATTGTTTGCCTGACGAAGTGACTTACAATACCCTTATGCAGGGCCGTTGCAGGGAGGGCAAAGTTGAAGAGGCTCGTGTTCTTATCGATGAGATGAAGAGTAGAGGTATTAAACCTGACCACATAAGTTACAACACTCTAATTAGTGGTTATAGTAAGAGAGGTGATATTAAGGATGCATTTAGAGTTCGGGATGAGATGTTGAGTATAGGATTCAACCCTACACGCCTCACTTATAATGCACTGATTCAAGGTTTGTGCAAAAACCAAGAAGGGGATCTTGCTGAAGAGCTCCTTAGAGAAATGGTTAGCAGAGGCATTGCACCTGATGATAGCACGTACTTTTCTTTGATTGAAGGGATTGGGAGTGTTGATGAGTTCTTGAGCAGTAAGACTTCATGATACGTTTCATGACCGGAAAACGGTACACTGTATCACACTTGTTTTTAACTAGTTCTCAGTGCTCCAAGCCGGGGGAAACGCAGATAGTAGCAGGGGGAATCAACAGAATATAAGGTTTCTGTCGATAGTCTTGTATTCCTCAAAGTTCCTTGGATGCCGTCTTGCATAGCAGTCCACATAGCTTTGCACATGCTGGATAGCGCTCAGTCTTCTACAAGGTATTTGATATGATGAAAAGAGCCGAAATGCTATTCTACCGTATGCACAATTTCATATTTGGCTCAATAATGCATGAGATGCGTGAGAAACTTGAGAAAGGAACCCTTATAATGCTTTTAGTTTCACAAATTCGTAATTTTATGTGTTCAGGGTTCTTTCTCCTTTTTCTCTGTTTCATTACCTTTAGCATCCAGGAGTGGATCTTGACTCAAACACCAAATCCATCTTTTCTCTATAAGCCACAACTCTTTGGTAATTGGTATATACCGGGAATCTTAACCTCTTGGTGGTAATTGCATGATTGTTCAATTGAGATTTCTGCAGGCAGCATATAATTGGACAAAGCCAGACACATCATTAACCACTTATACACTTGAGGGTTTTACTTGGCCTCAAAGCCACATGAAGAGCCGTGCACGTTTTTATTTCAAAGCATTAACCTGCATACTCATATTGCATTGATAAGGGGCAATGAACTCTTTCTTTGAGAGGGGATCATTGCTGCTTTTTCTGCTTTGTGCATAAAAGCTTTAGCAGATAGGGTACACTATCTCACTTTTTCCCCATAAATCATTGACCTATTGGAATGGATTTCTTGGTAAATATATCCTTAGAAATGGTACATACTTTCTGGTTCTTACTCACAATGGTAAATGCTTTCTGATTTGTCATTGTCGCACACAATGTCCCTTTATTACAGTATGAGTTGGTGGAGAACACATGCATTTTGCACTAAATCTGTCCTTTTCATTCACTCACTTGCTGGTATATTTATAGGTAATTGATTCCTGATATGCTACAACTGAAGCTTCCATGGGGAATTTTATAGCTCATATCGTGCCTGGTTTGGCTTTAACTCTTCTTGGCTTATGGCACATCATCAACACTACCAGGTCGTACTGCAACAACAAAACCTCCACAAGCTTCATGGTCAAGTTTTGGCACCCTTTTAATTGTCTTTTTTCCAGGCTCAAACACTTGGAGCCTATCCTCATTCTGTCCTTCTCCATACTCTCAGTTTTGAACCAAATTTTCAACTTCCCTCTTTTCCGCTTCTCCTTCGAGCTTGTAAACTTGGAACATGCAACCATGTTCCTTCATCTTGCCATCTTTGCAGGTTTCACCCTTTGCACAGAGATAACTGAATCATCTCACATCCTGTCTAGTGTGACTGGGATACTTGCTACTTCCCTCTTTACCCAAGAGCTTTTCCTCCTTCATTTCCACTCAGCTGACCATGTAGGTCTAGAGGGCCATTACCACTGGCTCCTTCAGCTTATAATATTCGTCTCTCTTCTATCAGCCTTAGCTTCCACTTTTTTCCCAACCAGCTTCCCAGCAGCCCTTGTTCTTTCGGTTTCAGTAGTATTCCAGGGATGTTGGTTCATGAACATGGGTTGTATGCTGTGGCTTCCTCAGTTTGTTCCCCAGGGATGCTTTATGAATATGATGCAGTCAGGTGGGAACAGCGGTTCTGTAATTCATGGAGCAGTCACCTGTGAATCTTCTTACGCAGATCATAGGGCGAGAGCTCTTGCAAACTTGCAGTTCAGCTGGATACTTGGTGGAATCATGTTGGTTACTGGTTGTCTTTGCCTGAAATCAGTAGGGAAATCCAGCCAGAGACTGCAGCAATATGAGCAGCTTAACACCAGCAGAGGTGGTGATAGTCCTTCTCTCACCATTATCGAGGGCTTTAAGTAAGTCCATCAAAAGACTGCATCGTCGAAGCACTAGCTACTCGTAATCTAGTTAAGATGGTGATTATGATTGTCAACAGTGTAGAATGAATAACTAAGGATGCATATGTATTGAACATGTCTTTCAATGCAAAAAATGAATGTCCAGGACTGATAGTCTGATACTGTTGGTATAAAGATAAAGCTGTCTTATCGTACAGAAAGTAAAAAGGCCAGTTTATTTTTGTTTTTTTTAATGTGTTTGACGGAAGAGGAGAGGAAAGGGTTGCTTTTGCTAGTGCTTTTCCCACTCGTTCTCAAACTCAATTTGTCTTTGCGTTTATGGTCAAGAAAGGAACGACCGAACGATGAGACCATTTTGGTCGATGCAAAATTGTTCTTTAATACGAACTAGGGCTTGGTCTAATGGTAATATCACTAGTCTAAATTTGGAGTTTTCAGGTTCTAATTCTTTAAGTAGTATCTTAATAACCACAAAATGAAATCTATATCACCCTTATCTAAAAAAATTGGTCTTTAATGGTGGTGTACAAAAAGAATTCATTTTCAATTCTAAGTTTTGAATTCTATAGAATTGGAACTAACTATAACGATTCCTTGATTTATAAATAGAAAAATTATTTTACTAATTATAATAAAATGATATTTTATTCTTATTTATTAACTGAATAGCTTTTACATATATTATTTGGCACCAATACAAAGATTATGTGCGCCTAACCCTCCTCTTTCTGTTGGTATGTTAACCTAATACATACTTTCTCCTAAATTCTGTATTCTAGGCAAATCCAAATCCATTATGAAGAGATCAAGCTCGCTTGACTCAAAAGAAAAATGAATTACAATGGAAGCCTTTAGAAGATGGATCTTCAAATTGTATACTTCGAACTTATCTTTTTAGCTTTGTTTTATTGGTTCGATAATAATTTATCACTTGCAATTTCTAGAAGATGAATTTTCAATGAATATTTTTTCTGCTAGAAATTAATAAGAGTGTAGTTGGAAACTTTTAATTTAATTGATTAATTAAATTCTGAACGTATTTCAAATATGGTTTGTTTCTGATGAAATGAAATGAATTCTTGATTCATTTGGTACCAATCGATGTGTAAATTGGATTGAGCCAATATTTGAATTGAATCGTCATGGATTGAATATAACGTAATATAGCTTTGATTCTCAGTAAATATGAAAAGACATACATCAATCAAACCGAACCGATCAAATACAATTTTCACTCGATTCTAATTCTGAATTTTGTTTTTCTTTTTTCAATCTTATTTTATCCTGCTTTGGAGTGACTCTTGACCAAATTGAAGCGTTGCACTTGCACGTCTATTAACATATGACACGTGACAGAATTTCCAATAGCATGGTGGATTAACTTATGGGTTTGGTAAATTGGTCAGTACTCAGTAGTTTAGCTCTATGTTAATTGGTGTTTAGGCCTACTGACGTTTGTCTAACCACTCACCAAAAAGTAGAGTATCACATTAAAGGCCCTCAATCACCTGTAAATATTGATCGTGTGTGGGTATAATAATATAATATATGGCCTACAGAGGGCCAAATTTATTTACACTTGGGTAGTGCACACACACTACAAAACTAATCTTTCCAAGTGAAACTAAACGGACAATATTGAATAGAAAGGGCATGATTTGTCTTTTGGTTAGAGTTTATAATCCTTATACTTTTAATATACGAGAAAATAATTTTGGTGAAGTGGGTATGGGTATTGGGTGGGAGGCTAAAATAAAACACGCCTCATGCCTATCAATTTTTTTTTTAAATTTCTACCCATACTCAATTAATATAAAAATTATATGCATTGATTGGATCAAGGCGGTCAAATACCTATGATTACGTTTTGATTGCCACCCTAATTACAACTACAACCATCATAATCAGTTCCTCAAAAAGTCACCACATTGGCTTGTCTTGCTTACTACGTACTTAAAAAAGCCAGAAGTTCCAACTAATCAACCTCCAAGGTTCCAATCTCGCCATACCTTATTACTTAAACACTCTTGTCAAGTTGTCATTCTCAATCCTTCCAACTAATCAACCTCCTAGACATAATTATTTTATTGTTTTGCCCTAGCCCAAATAAAAGTATACTTTGGAAAAATACTTGGATTTTTAGGATCTTTGCCACCAAGGAAGTAGGTTTGGTTACTACATTCCACACCTGTATTGCCAACATCGATTTGTTAAAAGCTCTGAAGTCTCTAAAACCCATGACCCGAAATCTTTTTCATCACAAAGTTTGTCCATGTTCACCTAATTCCTCCGAGATGCTTCATTCTTCTGACCCCACCAAAACTACGATATAGGATTTAATACTTCGATGACTCCTCGTATTTTGAAAACCAACACAGGACAAGAAACTTGTTCTTGTGTCACCGCTTTCAGCAGTTGTTCCTTCGCCGCTTGGAACATAGTTCGATATGCCGGCAAAAACTTATTTCTTTGCTCTACTAATGAGTAGGGTGTTCAAACGATGTGGTTAATATGGTAACTGTTTTAACCAGTACTATTTGGATAATTGGTTTGATTTGGTTTGGTTAAAATTTTTAGCTTATTTGGTTTAGGTGGTTTGGTTTGGTTTCAAACACTCCTAACCAGCCAAACCAAATTGACCAGATAAATAATTAGTTATATATCTAATATATACACATACTTAAATACATTGAATAACCACTCAATAGTTAAACGTTCATCCTTTTAGACTCGTAAAATATAAAGGTTGATATTGTTCCTTTAATGTATATTTGTATATGTAGAGTGTAGACCACAACATATGACCGCCTAATTTAGATAAATCTCATACATTATGTTGGATGAAAACTTCAAAGCAAGGTCCTTTTCAGCCTATGAAAATTGCTAAAAGACTAAGTCAATTCAAACGAACACAACAATTCATTAACCCATATCATTGTGACAAATTTTTGTTAGCTGAATACTTCTATACTAACCGTAAGATAATTGTCTTAGTTGCATGTATTTATGTTAAGGGTCAAGGGATTTTTCCAATAATAGCACCTTTAAAAAAAAATTACAAAACTAGCACCCATATAAAAAAATTGACAGAAATAGTACCAATTTTTTTGGAACGCACCATAGGGGTGCGTTCCAGCATACGAAACGCACTAGGGCGGTGCGATTTACTGCTGCTGCGGAACGGTCTTCAAGACCGTTGGATGGAGGGGCGATCGGACGGCTGAACGCTTGCCAGCGGAGCGATCCGCGTTACGGATCGGGGATCGCACGCCCGAGATGCGGTCAACCCTGGGGAAGCGCAAAACGCATCGGGAGGGAGTGGTTTCATTTTGGGCAAAATTACCCGACCGCCCCTGGAGGGTGCGGTCTGTTGGGTATAAATACCTCCCCTTCCCCTCTCATTTCTTCACACCACAACCAATTCTTCCTTCTCTCTCTACAATTTATCTCTCTAAACCCTACCCCTCCCGAAAGCCTAGGAAATAGTGGTCTATTGGTTGCGGCTAAGTCCGATCTGCCATCAGAAAATATTTCTTAGGTTTTTCCTCAAAACCCGCCGAGCCGAGCCAAAGCTCTGTCCGAATTTGCCGAAAAAATGGCCGATTGGTGGCAAGGAGAGGAAGTATATGTTGATGAATTTCAAGCGGTACGTACTCATTATTCTGGTTTAATTTTTGTTATTGTTATAAGCTTTTTAATTAATCTATGTACTAACCTCGTTGTTATTTTCGCGTAGGTTGGGGAGGACGTGGATATATACAACCAACGGTATTATCTCGAGCAAGGACCGTTGGATCCAACCGACTTGTACGACCAACCCAACCATCGGTCAAGGGATGTTTGGAACGCTCACCCGGTACATACAATTCTTTACCATTTGTCCTTCTTTTATTTTGTTAATGTATTTAGTGGAATATAAAATAAATTTATGTTGAATGTTTAATCGTGTTGGTTGTTTTCAATAATTTAATCGAATACATAGCGCCCCTTACTTCGACTCTTTATAAAGAGATGCACGTCTAAGGAAATGGGGTTTTAAGCGATTATCATATCCTCCCATTCCCTGGGAAAATCGGGTATTAAGAGATCCTCGGATCCCCCCTTTTTCTGTCAAAAAGACTGCGTTTCTAAGAAGATGTATACCTCTTCTAAGAGTCTAACGAGTGTTGCTTTGTATTCGATTAAATTATTTAAAACAACCAACACGATTAAATTATTTACCAAACAACCAATACGATTTATTTTGATGTGTACAAAACGAATTTTATTAATTTCAAACATTTGAATATGTATGTTTCTCTTTAAATTATTATTTATTAACGTCATTTATTTTAGTAATTTAGTATGTTTGTTTTACGATAATATGTATGTATCTCTTTAAATTATTATTCATTTAAAATGTGATTATGTTAATTATATGAATTGTCTTTTTATGATAATAAAATTCTGCTTGAAGTTAAATAATTTAATTTAATTAATTTAGTTATAAGGAATAAACCCTTACTAATATATAATAATTAACGTGTAAATTTTCCCTAGGAGGCACAAACAATAATCCGCTACAGGGGTATGACCAATGTGCTCCCATTCCACCCAGCTATCTTGCCCTTTCTCAAAAGGGCACGGTTGGACCCGATTAGGCATTTTAACGGCATCAAAGTTGATCGCCAACTCATCACCGCATTAGTTGAGAGATGGAGAAAGGAGACTCATTGTTTAAACTTTAGAGAAGGAGAGGCCACCATCACGCTAAAGGATGTCGCCATCCTAACCCATCTGCCCATCGACGGCAAACCGGTGTGCGTGAGTGATCACCCCCCCCCCCCCCCCCCCCGAGGATTGTGACGGTATGCCCGGTTGGGTTCATTTCATCTACAATGTTTTGGGAGTGAAAGTACCAGTGAAAGGGTGCGTTGATGCGACCGATCGCATGCCACCAATGAGGAAACACCAAGTCTCAATTACTTGGTTGACGAAGTATTTTAGAGACCATTACGAGAGTCATCCCCTAACCGAGGAAAGTCCGGAGGATGAGAAGGAGAGATATGCTCGGGTCTATCTCATTGGCATGATCGGAGGAGTGTTCTTCTCCAAAAAATCAAGCAATCTCCTTAGTTGTGGATGACTTAGGATCATTCTTGGTAGTTGAGAGGAGATGGGGGAGTATAGTTGGGCATCCTCTTGCCTAGCTAATATCTATCACAACTTGTGCAATGCCTCTCTAAAAGTTGTGAGGGAGGTCGGCGGCGCAATGTTCATCGTCCAATTTTGGGCTTGGGAGCATATGCCATGGATTGCACCAGTACAACGTCCCGACAGGGATTGGCCAATCGATCATCCCATAAGAGGGGAAGCTTATGGTACAAGGTAAACTTCTCATACCCCATCATGTTTTTTCATAACACATTTTTCCTTGTGTTTTAGCTTATTGTAGTTTCATTATTGTCTTATTAATAAGGTGGCTCGGACACACAACTTGCGACAACCTTGCCCAACACAAGTTGGACGAGTATCGGAGGAGGTTTGAGCGACTTTGGGAAGGAGAGGTAACTTCTATACTTCGATCCATTTATATCTTTTTTCCATGGACTACATGTATTTTTCCAATTCTTACTATCTTAAGTTATTCATTTCTTTCTTGTAGATCGTC